TTTAATTTATTCTCATGCTTACATTTGCTTTGCAAATATTATTAGTTTCTTTTTAGTTGTCTGATTATCATGTCCTCTCCTTTGTTTTTTTGTTTTTTTGTCCTTTTTCACTTTTTGCTTTTACCTTCTGTTTTGTGTTATGAGGTTGATGACTGAGCCAAGGTCCTGGCCTGTACCAGCTATTTTGTGTGTCGTTTACAAGTGGCGCTTTATCATTGTTTTTCAAAGAAAAATTAATCTGATCCTTGAAATAGTCAGAGTGAGCAACATGATCCATTCACCTCCATAATCTTCTTCATACTCACAACCATTTAATAAAATATTTTACATCTATTTCTGTCTTTATTGTTTAAAAATTACACTGTCAAAATAATGATACATATATTTTTCTAGTACTTGCCATTCTTTCTAACATGTGGGGAACATCCCACCTCAAATAGGAGACGGAGGTCTATACATGTAAAATGCACAACATCCTAGACAGGGCATCGTGTGTTTTTTTTCTACTTACTCTATTGTTGAACATCGATTTTTCCCCTTACAGTGTCTCATTCCCACCTTTAGTTCTGGGTGTCCTGGAACCTTTTTTAGGTAGGCAAGGTCCCTGGGAGAAGGGTAGGTCTCACTGCAACCTGGTCAGCACACACTCCTTTGACAATTCTTTGTCTAGAAACAGTATTTTCATTAGTGAATCTCTGCCCATTTGGGACTGTTATTTTGTCATTGGTGACAAGTGTGGTAAGAATTAAAATATAACATAAATGTCAGAGTCCTGAGGCGGCCCATTTGTGAAGAGGTTGGGACAACCTTTAGTACTAAGGATTCAAGCCCCATAGACTGAGGATAACAAGAGGTCTACTGGTGTGATGTGTATCAGCAGCAGTCCCACATGGGATCAGTGGCTATACAAATCCACATACTTACAGTCAGTTGCTTTGTGTAGTCAGTCCAGAGAGTGCTAAAAATAATCTTCACATATAAACTGTCATTTATACCATAACTTAGCACCTCTCCATCTGTGAAGTGTTATCCAAAATCTACACCTCGTCAAAATGCCCAGGTGCCATGGTAACCAGCCCCTCAGAAAAATTAATTACAGTGTCAAAAAAGGACACATCAGGAAGTTTGAGAAACTACTGTGTTTTATGAGGAAAAGTTATAATTATTTCAGTCATCTCAGCATGAATACCAGGTGTATTTTTGGCCTGGGTCTTCTTAGACATCAGCATTTGTTCCAATTTGAATGCGTATAGGTTACAAAATGATATTAATGGTAGCTACACTGAAGTTATCATTTATCTCCATAATTTTGTTTTTCTGTTTATATGTTATATGGAAATAGAAATGAATTTAGGTGATTGCTTCCTTTCATTATTTACTCTATAACATAGGAGGAGATCTAATTCTCTCTCAGATGATGTGTCCTGAGGGGACAGGTGCTCTCTCAGCCGCCTGTGTGAATCAGCTTTATTTTTCATTGTTATTTATTGTCAGAATCAATATGGTATTTGGAAACTTCCAAATTGGTTCTACGTATCTGAGGGTCTAAAATTTGTAGCACAGCAAAAATCAGTTTTCTTAGGAAATCGCACCAGACAGTATAGAAAGAGAGCTCTGAGTTTGAACTGGCCATTTTTCACGGTAACATAGACCAGGCACTGGCCCGACAGACAAACTCACAAAATACCTCTCATACCAGATCCTTCCAGAGAGTAATGCTGAGGCTGAAGGAAGGGGTGGCTTTGTTGTATCTCTTTCAGAGATAATTCTCCCTTGTCCAAAACAGTATTCATTTCCATATAGGTAAATGGTGGGGTATGGAAGATTATAAAAATCTTTCAAAATGAGAGAATATGTTTAAAAATAAAAAAGAAGAAGCAGTGAATGTTTGGTTATTAAAGGTTAGCAAAGCATAAGGCATAAAACACATAAAGAATCAAATTGAAGGTAAGTAAATATAATATGCACAGAAGTTGGGGGGAAGAAACTTTATAGAAAAATGTTTTAAACTGGACAAGGAGATGTAAAAACCAAGATACTTCCATTTCTTTTTCTGATTCTGAAATAAAATCTTTTTATCCTAGCTATACAGAGAATATTTGTGAAATGAACCCATTAGTGAACAAAAATGATTGGACCATACTCAATAGTTTATGTGCTACGATATGTATGTATGTATGCGTGTGTGTATGCATGTACGTGTGTGTGTGTGAGTGAGTGTGTATCTGTTGATATTGTTGTTGTTATCCTTGAGATGAATTTAGGGCTTTGTAAGCACCACTTAACTACCTCTCTAGTCCTTGTTTGTTTGTTTGTTTTGTTTTTAATGTTTTTATATTATTGTTACACTGGTCCTAAGGATTGAACTCCAGGCCTGGGCACTATCTCTAGCTAGTTTGTTCAAGGCTATAACTACCACTGAAGCCACAGTTCCACTTCTGGCTCTGTGAGGGGGTGGGAAGGACACGTGTACACGTGCGTGCACATGCGTGCGCACACACACACACACACACACGCACACTTAACTGAAGGTAAGAGTTTCATGGACTTTCCTGCCCAGGCTGGCTTCAAACTGTGATCCTCAGATCTCACCCTTCTGAGTTGCTAGGATTACAGGCAAGCACCGACACATAGCTGGGGTATATTTGTTTGTTTGTTTTGTTTTTGGCAGGATCTTACTATCACATAAATTTAGTGTCCTCCTGCCACCTGAGTGCTGAGATTCCAGATGTGGACGGACATGCCCAGTGTCATGTGTTAGGGATCTTTGTGGTAGAATTTCCTCTTAGCTTTTAGTCTAAAAAGGATACATAGCTTAAAGAAAAGTTGGCTGAACACAGCTCAATCTGATCCGGCTTGACGTAGCAAATGTTTCCAATTGATCTCAAAACTATTGAAAAAAATAAATTGTGTAAAATGACAAGGTTAATTTATATTTCTGTACTCACTTCTGTTCATTTTATCCAGAGTCCATATGGGAACTCCTCTGAGTCTGACTTCTTATTACCTCTGTTGCCTTTATCCTGGCTTTGACCTTGATCCTTGACCTTTATCACCAGGACAGTTGCCTTTGCTAGTAGCCTCTCATACATAAATGAAAGATAAGGAAAAAGTTGTTTTTGTTGATTTGTTTGTTCTCCTGCCTATTAGGTATAATGTGGCCCACAATGTTCCACCACGTTGGACTGGTCTCCTTAAGAATTTCATGGGCTTAGGACTGGGAAGGTGGCTCAGTGGTAGAGTGCTTGCCTTGCATGCATGAAGCCCTGGGTTCAAGTCTTCACTACCACAAAAACAGAAAAAGCCAGAAGTAGCGCTGTGGCTCAGATAGAGCTCTAGCCTTGAGGACAAAGAGGCTCAAGGACAGTGCCCAGGCTCTGAGTTCAAGCTCTAGGACTGGCAAAAAAAATAATAATAAAAAGAAATTTCATGGGCTTAAAATCCTAACCCTAACCTTTGCTATCGTAGAATCTATGTAGGAGCCTGTGCCTTGATGTTTGTGACCTAGACATGTCTCTGCATTCCGAGGCTTCGTCTCTTTCCACCAGTAAGACCCGCAGAAGTCAGGTGTCCCTCCCTCCAGTTAGGGACCTACACCATTAGGTAAAGATTTAGCACCCTGGAGACAGCATAGTACAAGTGTAATTGTTCTCTTGGATTAGAGCATTAATTAAATAAATGCATTCAGATCCACTTCTCATGTTAACTGAAGGGTAGAGTATGTGTGTAGGAAGGGAAATGAATGTTCCCTTGGTCATATTTCATACACATTTCTCTGAATCAGGAAGCTATTCTTGCAGAAATATTGAGAAATCTAGGACAGTTTATCTCTCTACATTTGAATATTTTAAATGTGAGAAACTCCACTAGGTAATATAAATATTTTATGTAAAATCAATAACAAATAATGACTTATAAAGCTAGATTAATTAAGTAAATGAGTCATTTAAAATATATACCAGGGAAGTGAATTAACATGATTACAATACCATAATAGACACCAACACCTGGGAACCACTCCATATTGAAAAGTGTGATTCTTAGAGCATTTCAGACCTACCCAGGGGACTTTTTATTTCTAGAACTGTGAACTGGATAGTTGGAAAGTGTCTTCAAGCTGAATTCCACTTGGCACAGAGTACTCAATGCTCATGATTATTTATGTTCAGTACCTCTCTACGGAGAAAGCCAGGTGGTAATGGCTCACAACTGTAATCCTAGATACTCAGAAGGCTAAGATCTGAGGATCATGATTCAAAGCCAGCCTCAGCAGGGAAGTCTGATACTTTTATCTTCAGTTAACTGCCAGAAAACCAGGAATGGCTCTGTGGCTCAAAGTGTTGAGAGCAGTAGCTTTGAGCAAAACAGCTCACGGATTGTACCCAAGTCCTGAGTTCAAACCCCATAATTGACCAAAAAACAAAAATCTATTAGAGAGTTCTAAATTTGTATGAGAACAGAATAATATAAAGGTTTGGGGGCTGGGAAGGTGGCTCAGTGGTAGAGTGCCTGCCTTGCATGCATGAGGCCCTAGATTCGATTCCTCAGCACCACATAAGGAGAAAAAGCTGGAAGTGGCACTGTGGCTCAAGTGGTAGAGTGCTAGACTTGAGTTGAAGAGCTCAGGGACAACACCCAGGCCCAGAGTTCAGGCCCCATGACTGTCAAAAAAAAAAAAAAAGTTTGTACATAGAGAGAGGTTAACATAAACAACAATTTACCAGGATTTTTGAATTAGAAGTTATAACCAATAGACTTCTTTAATATTTATGTTGAACAGAACAAATGTAGACTGACAACTGCTGGATGTTTTGGTTGGGTACAGGGAGTTTATCTTAATCACAGTGTATTGAAGTATATTGAAGTACTATTGGTTCTAAAATTTCTCTTTAGTTTGAATGTTTTAGTTTTCTTTGAAAACCTTACAATCACAGTTTTAAATTTTAATAAATAAATAAATAATGCCATCTAGTTGTCTTACATGGTAATATTTCTTTCAGCTTTTTGCCCGAATTCATCAATGGAGACTTTGATTCTATTAGACCTGAAGTCAGAGAATACTACACTCTTAAGGTAAACTGTAAAGTTCCATACTCAAGATTTGATCATCTGATTGCTCTTCCTCTGATTTTCCTCTAAAAATCTTTCTGATTTTCATGATATATAAGTAGGGATTGAGAAGCTCATTGCTTGGTTTCTTTCATAGTTTGTTGTTGTTATTGTTGTTGTTGTTGTTATTGCTACACAGATGGTCATGTGCATTAAACATGGGGATTTAAAATATGACAAATGGTAGTTCAATCTGGAGGAACCTCTGTCACCATTACATAAGCATTAACAATGCCTTTACATGTGTGTGTGTGTGTGTGTGTGTGTGTGTGTGTGTATTACCTGAGCTCACAGATTAGACACAATTATAATATTCTGTTATTTTTTTATTTTTGCACCCTAATCACTGATGTATTTCACAATTATTGTGAGCTTATTTAATGAATATTCTTTATTTTACATAATCAGTTCTCAGTTAATACATAATTAAATTGCATCTATTTTTGTATATCAATCCCTGCTAAACACAACTTTTTAAATGAATTTTTTGTAAAAGTCGTAGTTTTGTGGGCCTAGAATTGTAGAACCAAAGTTTTTCTTACATCATTTTTTCAAATATTCTTATTGTTCTGCTGTGAGTAAAACTACTCATTATGACTTGAGATTAATAATAGCCTGTGGTTTATTAAATTGTTCTTTTTGTCACTATTGTGCAAATCTTCCAGAAATCCTTGCCACTTAAGGACATACAAATGATCTAATTGGGGATGATATAATCATATAAGTATGAATCAAAGTAATTAATAATTCAATGTTTCACTGGTTTTAAAAGACAGTGCAGAGTTTTTAAAGCAAAAATTATAGCATTAGTAATTCTCATAGCCATATACTACCATTGGTGTTATTCAAAGCTGGCATTGGCAATTTACACACATTCTTTTAAATGGAACAGCAGGCAATGTGCTCATAAAATTCAATTCTTTATATGTCTTGAGAGAGATAAGATAAATTCAGAGAGAGGAAACTGTGTAGGAGGAGGGAAGGAAAGAGGAGATAAAGAGATGAAGAAGAAAAGCACAGTTTTAGCGGAGAAGCCTTACGAGTGGCATGGTTGTAAAGTGAGTGCTGGTGTGGAATGCATACGCTGGGCTGGCAGTGAGTGCAGATCTGTGCACCTTCCATCTGCCCACCAGCTGATCTTACTTCCTTTCTGCAGATGAAGACTGTTCCCAAGTCAGTGTTTGATATTCATGCTCAATTACTTCAACATTGGTGTGTTCTATTCAGTCCCCATTGCCTCGCTTCTCATTAACTCCAGGCTTCAACCTAGTGGAGCTGGAAAGCCGCAGCCTCTGCTTATGATGCACAGCTTTGCACATGCATAGATGTTAATCGTATTTTCAGGAGCACAGTAAACAGCGGGAGAGGCAGGGACAGGCAGACAGAAAAGCAAATGAAGGTCTGGCCAGATGTGACTGATCGCCTGCTCTCTCCAGGCCTGATGGCTGCCTTGCCAAAATTGAAAGCAGCAGTGTGGTCATTCCTGTCCAGGATAGGGACGTGAGGGAAGACCAGTTCTCTTAAATTTCTGGATGCATTAAAAATGGGAGTCAGAAGCAATGTGCAAATGGCGCCCACTATAATTCTAGCTACTCAGGAGGCTGAGATCTGAGGATGGCAGTATGAAGCCAGCCCTGACAGGAATGTCTCAGAGATTCTTCTCATCATTTAACCAGCAAAAAGCCAGAAGTAGAGCTGTGGTACAAGTGGTAAATCAACAGCTTTATCGAAAAAGTTGAGCTATAGTGTCCGGGCCCTGAGATCTAAGCCCTAGTTTCAGCACCAAAAATAAATAAATAAATAACAAAATGAGGGTCAGGGATAAAAGGAATATTTGAGCTAATATGATGTTCACTTATATTTCATGCCTTAAAAAAATCTTAACCTGCAAGTATTACAATGCACATGAACTCATTACCTTACTCGTGTAACTGTAACCCTTCTGTACAGTATCTTTACATTAGTATATATTTATATATGTAAAGATTTAGTTTAAAAGTAAGATTTAGCTGAATCTTTTGGTGATTGAGCTGTATGTTTGATGTAGTTGATGTAGTCAATCCTGAGTGTTGAACTCACTGCTTTTGAGCCGTAAAACATGTTTTTAGAGGACATAGATATGACTGTTAATGTAGTTAATGTGCCCTAACAACACATAGTGAGTGTTTGATTGTACTTTTGATAATGATGATTACCACAAGTGAATGCAACATTACACATGATTCCTATGAGCCATTATCTCCTACCTCAACATTCCTTTAGGTTGTCTCCACTTTCCCATAAGCCCCTCTCCCAACCTGGTCTGGGCTTTCAGTGAAGGTGTACCTAGTGAAATGGAACCAGGTTACTTGAACAGAAAGGTGGGGTTGGGAAAGACAGTGGGAAATGGTGGATGGGGTGACATTGGTCAAGATGCATTGTACTCATAAATTGATATGTTGAATTGAAACCCCTTTGTACAATTACTTAAAATCCTCAAAGATCAATAGAAATATGAAAGAAATAAAACAAATGATAAATGTTTGTTAAAACCACTAAGTAGATTGTGCATATAACGTTTAAGCAAGTTCATGGTTAAATGTTGCAAATGGTGTGCAAACTTTAATTAACTCTAAAATTTTGCTTTTCTTTCTGGCAGCTGTAAAATCACCAGGCTTTTCCTTTTGCCTATTTATCTTAGTCCTTCCCTGCCTGATTTCCTAATATTAATCCAGAATGAGAAATAGCTCTTATAAATGTTCCCCTTGATAATTTAATTTTGTTTTCATTTTTCTGGGTCACTCAAGCCTTCTTTGATTCAAGGCTGAAATAATCTATTTCAGTATTTGTGATTATTTCATCCATCATGGGTACATATATTTCTGTTTTCTTAGAAGTCTGGGGGAAGCTGTACTATCTCATTTAATTCATGATGGTTCCTCATTTCTGTGGTTTGTGCGTCTTCATCAGACATAAGAAAAAGAATTTTAAAGCTTGATTTCTCAATGTTTAGGAAGTGAAGAAATCGTGGTATTTAATCAGTGGCTTAACAAGTTTTGTTTTCCCCACAAATGTATTTTTAAGTAGTGATTACAATATACTATAAATATAATAATAAAATTATAGTATAATATAAAATAGGGTATGAACAAATCAGTATGTTGAGCCTACTGTTGTGATGAAGCCCAGGGAGGTGTGGCCAACCACCTTGTAGGCCTCCGGGAGCTTTCGGGTCCCTGTCTCTGCTCTCTACAGGAAGAATTGAGTTTGACACTTGAACATAGCTGTACTTAATTACTAGGGCTTCTCAGCAGGTGGCAGGTTCAGCCTTTGTTCCTGTATAGGTAGTTTGTTTCCTTTCAGTACCCACAATACTGTGAGAAGATTCAGGGTGGGGACCAAAGTCATTCCCACTGGTGCCTCCACGACATTTCAGTTCTGGGACAGAAAGAGGAAAGCTCCAAGTGTCAGGCTAGACCCCAAATTACCGAAAGCTGATAAAAGTTTTAAATTATGTAGAAGCTATTTATAGGTTATTGGAATAAGGTGACATACATCATCAAAGAACAGAGGTGGTTTGGTAATAGGAATTAGCAAGGGTATAGGAAACCATTATTTTGATATTGTGATCAACACAGGCTGTGTTCCAGAGTTCTTAAGTCAGGAATAGGAATCTAGGTTAAGCCTAAGATTTCACCTTCTCAGCCAGTCCTTCTACATTCTGGAAGAACATTTATTGGTGATGAAACACAAGAATTCTGCCTCAAAGGTCCTGGTTGAACCATAGGTACAACTGTAAAACTCCCTGAGAAGTCATGAGCTCCAGTTTAATGGCAACAGACACTAGCAGAAAGTTAGAGTTAATACTAAATACCGATTTTGTAGTACAGACATAAAATTATTCTAGGCCGTGAGCTAACTCTAAAACTATAAACTAGGAGAAAAGAGAAATCCCAGGCCCAACATTGTTTCTGCCTTTTATTGTTTCTTTCTGAAATGGGGGAAAGATAGTATTTAAGGCAAATTATAGGAAATATTTTTTATTTATTCATTTTATTGTAAAGGTTATGGACACTAAGGATTACAGGTAATGAGTACATTTCTTTTAGGACAGTATCATTTCTTCCCTCGTTTTTGGTTTTTCCCTCCTGACCTCCCTCCCCTACAAGGTATATAGCTCATCTTCAACATAGTGTCTAGTGAATATCACTGCTGCATTTGTTCACCCTTTGTCCCACCATTTCTTTTTTTTTTTTGTCTTTTCTTTTTTGGTACTGGGGATCGAACCGGATGTTGCACTTGCTAGGCAAGCGCTTTGCACTGAGCTACATCCCAGCCCAGTCCCACCATTTCTGTGCTTCCACATATCCTCCCCAAAACAGATAAACTTATATATGAGACAAAAGATAAGTTACTTATTAAAGACTACCTTTTATCAAACAAGTGTCTCCCCGTCCCTGTCCATCTATCTGTCCCTCCCTCCCTCTCTTCTTCCTCCTTGTCCTCCTCCTTCTTCTCTTCTTCTTCTTCCTTGTCCTCTTCTTCCTCCACTTCTTGTCTTCTTATCTTTGTCTTCTTCGTCTTCTGCCTCTCCCCTTTCTACTTCTTCCCTTCTCCTCTTTCCTCTCACCCTCTCCTGTCCTCCCCTCCTCTTCCACAACTACCACAGCCACCTCCACTTCCTCCACCTCCTCCTCCTTTTCTTCCCACCCCTGTCTCTGTCTCTCAACAAGGATTTAACCTATAACCCAAGCTAACCTCATACTTGAGATCCTTCAACCTCAGCCTGTTGAGTGCTGTCATTACAGGTATGCACCACCAAGCCTGGCTAATGTTTCTTCTTGTCGTCTAACACTAAGGCTGTACTTGAATTTTAGAATGGTGTTCTCAATGGACAAAGATAGAGTAACTGAACATCTTAAGCCAGTGCTGTCCATTAGAAATTAGAAATGCTATATAGATTATGCCATCAGCAAAGGGGATAC